ACATAAAGACTTTTGATTTTTCTACGCTTTACACTACTATTCCCCATGCTCAGTTGAAAGATCGACTTCACCATCTCATTAAACAGAGCTTTTTCTATAAAAAATGTGGAATCGTAGATACAAATTTCTTGTTTTGGGTTACAATAATTCATATTTTGTGAAAAACCACACTGAATCTACCAGAAAATATACTGAAGATGATATTATCAAAATGCTGGACTTTTTGATCGACAATATATTTGTTGAGTTTGGAGGATTCATATTTCAACAGACAGTCGGTATTCCAATGGGAACTAATTTTACACCCCTACTGGCCGATTTGTTTTTGTACTCGTATGAAGCAGAATTCATTCAAAACCTTGTAAAAGACAAAAAGAAAAAGCACCTTGCGAAATTCTTTACTTTAACTTCTGATATATTGATGATGTTCTATCATTGAATAACCCATATTTCAGCCAATACTTACATCTCATATATCCCGGTGAACTTGAAATTAAGGATACTACTGATACTAGAAGGACTGCTTCATACCTTGATCTTTATCTCAATATTGACACAGATGGACGACTTCACACGAAAATCTATGATAAACGGGACGATTTCAACTTCCCAATTATCAATTTCCCATTTCTCAGCAGTAACATACCCTCTGCCCCTTCGTATGGTGTTTACATATCTCATTTGATACGTTATTCTCGTGCTTGTTCACACTATACAGACTTCATATACAGGAGTGTGCTCCTTACGCAGAAATTGCTCCAACAAAGTTATGAGGAGGACAGATTAAAAATGACACTACGTAAATTTTACGGACACCATCACGAATTGGTTGATCCATGTGTCTTTGTCCAAACTAACTAAGGACATTTTTACCACGTGTTAGATTGTGGTTTGTCATTACGTCATCTGATCTGTTAATTACCGAACGTGACTTATTCCCGATTGTGACTGTTTTGCTGAGTGTGAAACCGCATTGCTTTAAGACGTGTCACGGTACTTTTCTATCCCAAATTCATGTATTTAATTTTGATGTTATATTTGTTATTCTCTTCGGATTTTGTTAAATGTCTTAACGTCTTTTCTGTAATATTCGTGTGTTATGGTAAAGATAATTAATCACCTCCTTCATTTATGAGATTGGTTCAACGAAATTTATACGATATATTTGGTTTACAGTTTGATTCAGAAGAAACACCGACATAGCTAGATAATACAATTAATTATCTAATTACTACCACAATTTGATATTAATAGTATTGTAATTTTCATTGTTATTAATAAATGTAATGTCAGTATTACAGATCTAATCTTGAATCAATCCTAATTCTATCTTATTTTTGGGAAATATTTTTACAACTTCAAATGTGACGTCACTTTGTGTGCTTTTTTTGGAATTTTAAATGTGACGTCACTTTGTGCATTGAGGCTTTGGCTAACTCGGCTGTGTATTTTTATGTGTTGGATTAAGTTGTTTTATGTTATGTATCCGTTTTTATACGCCCGTCAATTTTTGACGGGACGTTTTATGGTATATAAATGTCCGGAGTCCGTCCGTCCGTCTGTCCGTCTGTCCATCTGTCTGTCCGGCGTAAACATGTCGCACCGTAACATCAGAACGACTTATCAAAATTTTATGAAACTTAACATAGTTGTTTCTTATGATGGTCAAACGATCTGTATACTTTTTGGTGAAAATAATATTAAAACTTTTTGAGTTACGGGACTTAGTAACTAAAACAGGTGTGTGTTTTTTTTTCACTTGTCGCGCCGTATCTCAAAAACAATTTGATGATTATTGCTTAAAACTTTACACACTTCTTAGTTATATTAATCTTAAGATCTGTATACTTTTTGGTGATGATTCAAAATTTTATTTTTGAGTTATTGAGTATTTTGTAAAAAAAGGGGGAGGGGTTTTTCACATGTCGCGCCGTATCTCAAAAACGATTTATGATTATTGCTTAAAATTTTACACACTTCTTAGTTATATTAATCTAAAGATCTGTATACTTTTTGGTTTTGATTCAAAAGTTTATTTTTGAGATATTGATTTTTTTTTTAAAAGAGGGGTTTTCACATGTCGCGCTGTATCTCAAAAACGATTTATGATTATTGCTTAAAATTATACACACTTCTTTGTTATATTAATCTAAAGATCTGTATACTTTTTGGTTTTGATTCAAAATTTTATTTTAGGGATATTGAGTTTTTTGTAAAAAAGGGGGTTTTCGCATGTCAGGCCGTATGTCAGAAACTATTTATGATTATTGAATAACAATTCACACGCAAGACGACGGGCGTATCGCGCGCATGGCGCAGCTGTTTATTATTCTGTAGTTAGTCCCCACTTCGGGTTTATCATGTATATCTATTATATAGTCATTTTATAAAATTTACTGTTTGCAAAAGTATATATTATTCTAAATAATAAGGATGTTCTTGTCCCAGGCAGAAAACCCTGGCCGTGTTAGGCGCAACTTTTTGGAAGTTTTGGTCCTCGGTGCTCTTCAGCTTTGTACTTGTTTTGGCTTTCAAACTTTTTTCATCTGAGCGTCACTCGTTAGTCTTGTGTGGACGAGACGCACGTCTGGTGTATTAAATTCTAAACCTGGTCCTTTTGTTAGCTATTATTCGTGTGTTTCTTTGTCCTATATGTTCTCCCATTTATTTGTATTGTAGTCATGTCATGTAATGTTGTCATTTTAATGTTATATTTAACATTGCCATAAAAGCGGGAGGTTTGGCATGCCACAAAACCAGGTTCAACCCATCTTTTTTTTCTTAAAATGTCCTTATCAAGTCAGGAAAATGGCCGTTGTTATATTATAGTTCGTTTCTGTGTGTGTTACATTTTAATGTTGTGTTTTTGTTGTGTCGTAGTCCTCCTCTTATATTTGATGAGTTTCCCTCGGTTTTAGTTTGTAACCCGGATTTGTTTTTGTCTCAATCGATTTATGAGTTTCGAACAGCGGTATACTACTGTTGCCTTTATTTAAATACTTGCAGGATATTTAAAAATCATTTAGAGATCTGATAACATACTTTAATTAAATCTGGGCCTCAAAATGTTAGTCCAAAATTGCCGTAAGCACTTAATTATTTTTCTTAATATCTTGATTACATTACAATGAAATCTTATTATTGTGATCATCCATGCATACCATCTCAATACATAGAAAAGGTGTGTAATATGAAACTAAGAAAGGAAATTCAAGCAATTTGACTGGACGGATAATGTTATTGTTGATATGTTGCATTACACCTAGTTTTGAGTTTCTTGTTTGGTCTAGTCGGACTTCTAAAACAAACGTACGTTAAAGGAGCAAAATAGTCTGTCTTGATTCCATAAAGTCAGAACTCCATTAAATCCGACTATGATAATAATCATGATAATATGAATACCAGGACGATAACTACAAAAAAGACATATACGAACCTACAAATTGTCCATTAGATGTTCAAACACACAAATAAAACTGCAAAAAGGCTATATCGTGGCGAGAACTATTTGAAACATTTTAACAAAAGGCAGTTTTAGATATCAAACAAAAGGTCTTTCAATTTACCAAAAGTTTAGTTTAAAGCAAAATTACTTATTTACAAATAACGTTCACCGACTAGATAAAGTGATAAAAAATAAAAATCATTTGAAACTAATAAAACATGTTTATATTTTGGAATATATTCCAATTTCATTTAAAAATGACATAATTGTTTGAACTGAAACAATATCAAATAAATCATTCATATTATCTACATAACAATGTTTTCTCCGAAAATCAGAAGTCAATATATTAAATTTATGTTTAATTGTATGCATGCAATCGGTCGAATCTTGGTTGTATATGCCAGTATGATTAGGTTCCCATTGATAATCAGTTCGACTTGGCACCCATAGAAAAACAATGTCTTTATTGCTAATATTCAAATTGATCAATACGCTTAGGTTTTCACAAATTAACGGGTTTTTATTTTTGGTATTTTGTATAGCTTGAAGACATGATAGCGAGTTAGAACATATCATAAATTTTGATTTGTCTGAAGAAGCAATAAATTACCAGGCAAGAATTATTGCCTAAGCTTATGAGGTAAAGATGGATGCAACAGGAGGTAAGCAGAGATTTGCAGCTCCGTCGACAACGACATCATCCGATGACACTCTGTCTCTATCCTTCAGTATAAGCAGTTGAACAATCAGATTTGTTGGATTTTATTTCAGCATAATGTTGCTGAATTAAGAGGTTTGTTTCAGCCTTTTTATATTTTCTGAGATCATATATAATTTTTGGTTTTTGGAAGTTCCCATGGAGGGCATTGTTAAGTCTGAGCTGGACCAACCGATTTTAAATCAAATGTAGAATCCTATCATTATGTTTTTTTTTTAACTATCTTCATAAATAGGATTGAAAACACAGTTGTAGGCGGAGTTGTCTAGAAATGCATTTAGTTTGACAGCATACTGTAGACCAACCTACAAACATTAATGAGGGAGTAAAGGTTTATCGGCCTCTACATACAGACTCTAAAACAGGTAGGTTTTAAAGGTACCAAGATATGGATGAAGACCTAGATGTTGCAACGCATCGAGAATTTTAATGTATGATTTTCTTTAAAAAAATCATTTTAGATTCATAGTTCGAATATTTTGAGACTCCATAATTCTTTTTTTGTTTGTTACTGACAAAAAGGTGCATTTTTTAAATAACCGCGTAAAACTGGTTAGACCCCTCGACAGTTTGTACCATAATCTGATTATTGATTAATGGCCAGTTTGATAATCTCTTCTTCAAACCCAATTGACAAGACTGTCAGTATAACATTAACCGAAACGGTGTTGATATCTAAACAAAGAACCGATATTGCCAAAATGAATTGAAAATGTCAACGAAAGTAGGATGACAATTTTATCCCAAAAAGGATCGAGACCTCTTCGAGTGAAAACAGGTAAAATTAAACACTTAAATTTAAAAATAGATTGTGTGTTTTAACCGCATCTGCCACACATGAATGCGGACGTTACAGTATTACCTCTATGTCAAGGTTTATTTTAATGTGTTATTGTAAATGGTTAGCTGATAACGTCTTTGAAAAGAAATGAACATCAACTTCACAAGTAGAATTGCCCTTGTTACAGGTGCTGGTAAAGGTATGTGATAATTGCTCTTAAAAACTTTTATGTTTTTATTTATAAACTTTAGTGAGATATAATAATACTAATAACTGAGTACTCTTTAACATAAAAAACAACAAAAACTTTCAGTCTGACACTATAAGGTTTTGTGATCTCAATGTTACCTGTATGTCAAGGTTTGTTTATTTATGTCAGTTGATCACATCTTTTAAAAGAAATGAACATCAACTTCAAATGTAGAACTGTCCTTGTTACAGTGTTTCATTTTATACTTTTACGAAAGACTATGTAATATAGAAATATAATAGGAGCTATTACATTGCATCTGTTCTTTATGTATATTGCCGAGATCATTAGAATGCAAATTTATACCTATCCATATACGGTATATACCCGACTTGTATAAGGCATACAGGTTACTATCTATATGGTCAATATAAAAAGGACATAAATCTAAGCAACTGTCATGGCTATCGTCCAATGGAAATCTACTAGGTTAATTTTTGCTTTTAACATAATATCACAGACAGACCACCGCACTTCAGTGTAACCACCATCGCACTTCAGCGTAGCTATCAACAAGTTAATGTCACAATGTTACCATTGCACCAGCGTGGACCATTAATATGCCCATATGCTCATATGTTCATAATAATTTGTAACATATAATGGAAATGTAGGAGTAGATTTTGTTACATTTTTTTATGCAAAGGAAATCATTGATTTTGTTTTGACCACCTATGAACCAATGTAGTCTTAATGTCTTTTACGCAAAAGAATCAATTTAACGTACATGCGAATTATATTAATTATATTTTATTATCATCAAAACATCAGTGTATTTCATCAAGATTTGAAGCAAAAATCAAAAGAAAAAGAAAGACGTTGCTATTACAATCATAATAATCATACTAATATAATTTGATCTGATATTGCGATTGCAAGTAAGCTGTGATACATGTTTTATTCTAATGTGAAGAAGTGTTTGGTAAACGGAAAAATATTTTATAATGTTTATTAAATGCAGGGTTTGCTCGAAATAGTTCAATGTATAATGTTATATCATTTCCAAAAGATTTGAGAATTTATTACAACGTTTCAATGATTTCTACAGGTATATAAGGTGAATTAAAAGATTTGAATACTGTCCATACAATACTTTTTATGTTTTAGAATTTAATTTTTGATTTGAGTCTTTTATAAAAAAAAACCAGTTATATCTGAAGGACAATTTGTCTGATTTTAAAGATATTTCACCAAGTAAGTAAAGGACCCTAATTGCAATGTTTCCTTTCTGCGTTGACGTGACGTATATCAACCAATAAACAATCAATCATGTTTTATAAAACCCAAGATACCTTCAACCGAACTGGACGTGTTCCCTTGCCTCTGAACTATATAAAGTATTGGGTATAGGTTGTACTCAAGCATCAGGGTATTTTGAAAGGGGCAAACGTTTCATTCATGAAGCACATTTTAAGAAATATGCTCATTCATTGAACAGTTGTTCGATGTTGACCGTTCGTGTATGTTTTAAGTTTGAAGTCCTAGTATAATTCGATTTTATTTTGTCAGGTTTTTATAATTCATTGATTATCTACATTTACTAATGTATTTGTGAGACAATGAAACAAAACATTTTCACTTATGATATAGCGTTGTACTGAGGCGACTTAAAGCAAATTTCGAACAATCAATCAGTTATTCAATCAATAATGTTTGTATAAACTGTGAGCATCTGTCTATGCATTAAACTGTGGGCAGTAATTCATAAACATGAATATTAACTTCGAAGAGAAAATTGCTCTTGTCGCCGGTGCCGGTAAAGGTTGATAATTTAAATACAATCATATTTTATATTATGTCAAATTCTTGCTATTTACTTCGAATCTATTATTTTTGTTGTTCATTCCGATCAGGAATGTGATTATACGTATTGTGTTACTCTTTAGCTATTATCAAAGTCATATGTTAACCTGTAGCAGTGTTTTAGGAGGGCTGACTTAAGTATAGTTTTATGGTAATCCCCGGCCTTCTTTTGACCGGCAGTACAACGCTTGCTAATGATAAGCGTCCTCTTGCTTGTTCAGGATTGATAAATTTGCAGCCGCGTCCAACGGCTCCTCTTTGTCATAGGTTTACAATTTGCCACTGCATGTTAAGCAAGCAACAATGACTGATTCATAGTTTACGTCTTTTTGCTTTAACAAGTCAGCATTTTTTTTTTTTTTTGTAATTGTTGTCGCCTATCTCAAGAATCGTGTACTGATTTCAACTATTCGAACACTTGATTTAAGCGATCCTGACCGTATGTTGACGTCTAGATTTGATCTACAAACTGACTGTCTCTGTTGTCAAAATATTCAATTGTCTTTTCGATACTCAACGTACACAATATGCATATCAACATAGAGTTTGACATTATGATAAATGCAATGCATGGCCAGCAAACCTATGGTTAAGGTGTTCAAGGCATACATGTTATAATTGTTCAAACAAGGTATAATGTGCTCAAATATAGTTCCGAGCAGCTTTGTCTCTGAGCAACACCATCTGTTCGCAGTACTCCGTTAGGGTGGAGACCATTAATATTGCATTATGCTGCAAATCTTTTCCCTTGCCAGTGATTTAAACCACGTGTTTAAAGATGGCTCCGATTATGCAAGACCATTCTCGTGCCGGCCCATTATGGTCTTGGATTTCCATCCACAATAAATAGACGGTTAAATTCATATTCAGTGAGATGTTTAAACTGATGAAGGAAAACTTTTCAGGCCTCAAAAAGATAAAAAAAAAGATAATAATTTTTAATTTATTAGTTACCATTAGTGGATTTTAATATGCAAAAACACAACATTTACGTGCCTATACCACAGATATATAGTTCACTTTCTCTTATCTGCAAAAAACAAAGTGTCAATTGATTAATCCTGTTGCTTACTTTTATTGCATAAAGTAGCAATGGCAGGAGCTATGATGGGTAACGGTTTGAGGTGAAGTAAACTTAAATAAAGTTAAAGTGTGAGCTCAAAATTAGCGTTATTTGGGAAAGCATAAATATACACATATGTTATTGTTTGCGTTTTTCGAAACCTCTGGTTCTGTCCAAAATACTGTTTTCATTAGTAAGAAAACTATTTATACACACAATAATTTGCACAGCCTTACTACAAATGGTCTTAATTTCTGAAATAATAATTTGGTAACTAATTTACCCCATGAAGAATTCCAAATATTTTTTTTGTAATAAGATAGAATATTAAGAAAACCCTCATTCTTTCATGATGCCAACTCATCGAAAATACGCAAATATCAAGCAAAACATAAACATATTGGATAATATCAGGCTTATAATTATGAACATCATGCCAGACGCGCGTTTCGTCAACATAAGACTCATCAGTGACGCTCAAAACAAAACTGTTGGACGGTCAAATCAAATACGAAAATTTCAAAAAGTTGTGCCAAATACAAAACAAATTTATCAACTTCTTCACAGTAAAAAAGTTACAGCCACAGCTTTGCACATTGAAACAGTTTATAAAGTTTAATTCTTTTCAAAATTCGGGTTTCCGTCAAAAACATAAGTGCTTTTCCTGTGTATAATTCCTTCTCAATACGAGACTTTTGAACAAATGAAAACAATACTTTTTAAATTGCATGCGTCCGCATTTATTATAGAAATAGAACGTTAAAATATAGTTTAGAAATTTATAGCACTTATTGTTGATAATCCCATACAACCTGAATAGTAAGGTGTTTGTTTTTTTATTTCATTAATGTATTCACAATTTCCCCTAGCTTTTAATTAATTGAGTTTTCCCCATGCCAAATTTTTGTTGGTATATTAACATGATGATGGACTAGATCAAATTACTAACCAACTATTTGATAAAAAATAATTTCAAAGTGAATTGAACGGTATGAAGTGCAGGAAGTTTGTTTGCATTGGCTACAACTAACCGTGCTCTTGCAATGAGTATTATTCTGACCTCCTTAGAGTTATTGCCAGAATTCTTTAAGGCGAATTAGCATGTCTCTCTGAAAACTGAGCATTAGTACTAGTACGTTTGTTTTTACCTTATTGATATGTAATATATATAAATCCTATACAGTCAGAAGGTCGTCCAACACGCCAAGCGTCTTGTTCCCGATTGGAAGACGTCAATATTACCATATTTCTTTATACGACATGTTGTATAATACGATCTCCGAAACATTGTAATTGGAGCCTTTTCAAAAGTCATGTGATTGCATTATTATAAATTTATTTATGTTAACTCTATGTATTTCCCCGTTTAATAGGTATCGGACGCTGTATCGCTCTAAAATTATCAAAGCTTGGAGCGAAAGTCTATGCTGTTAGCAGAACAGAGGCAGATCTTGACAGCTTAAAAGTGGAGGTAAGAAAAACATGTGCAAAAATAAAACTCTATACACCTTATCGCTATTTGTCCGCCATTACTGGACATCACAAAGGTTCCTGTAAAATGTTGACGTTACATAAGAAAATGACTGACGCCATCATATTATAATATAAACTTAAGACAGTATTTTTTATCGATAAATTGATGTACTAATGATAACATTCTTTTATAACGATTTACAATGTTCGAATTATATTTATAAAATTGAAAGAACATGTTATGGATGTGTATTATTAGCAATCAAAGCCGGGTTTCAAAGTTATTGTGAAACTACCTATTCTAGGGGCGCCCTGAATCCGATGTGGATACTACAAAAATCAACAGATCTGTTAGAGTACATACAATCTAAGACTCTTTCCCTTTCAATAGTTTAAAAACATTCGACTCCTCTACTCTTTAATAATAAAAAAAAAGGCCAACATGGATATAAGTTTCTTGCCTTAGGTAGGGATACATCGTACTTTGTAAAAAATCACTCTGATTCTAACAAAAAATACTCTGAAACTGAAATGATCAAAATGTTTGATTTCTTTATTGACAACATAATTGTTACGTTTGGAGGACTTGTTTTTCAACAAATAATCGGCATTCCCATGGGTACCAAATGTGTTCATCTACTTGCCAACTTGTTCTTTTATTCATAGGAGGCTGACTTCATAAAGGAGCTTCTTAGGAAGAAGAAAAAGAAGCTAGCCCTTTAACTTCACTTTCCGCTTTATAGATAATGTCCTCTTACGGAATAATTCAAAGATTAATGACTGTTGAACGCATCTATCGCATCGAACATGAAATAAAGGATACAACAGATACGGTTAGATCTGCCTCATACCTTGACTTACATCAAGAGCTTCCCAATTATGAACTTTCTATTTCTATGTAGTAAAATTCTTGCAGCGCCTTCAAATAGAGTAGCTATCGACCAGTTGATACGATATTCCAGAGCTTGCATTTCCTATCGTTGTTTCCTTGATAGAGGGATGCTGCTCACAAGGAAGCTATTAAACGAACAGTTCTAAGTGTCGGAGCTGAAATCATCTCTTCGAAAATTTTACGGACGCTATCATGAACTAGTTGACCGTTATGTGACGACAGATACATTACAATTGTCTTAACCACAATCCAGTCCTCTTTTCCTTGAAAGTGACCTACCGAATAAGACTTATTATGGGGGTTGTTAAAAGACGAGCAATACGACGTATGCTAGATGTGGAGATATGGAGCAGGATCTGATTATCCATTATCTATGTCAGGTATCTACAAAAGAACTTTTCAAATTGATATAAAAAATATTGGTTATGCGTCAATGAGATCACAACTTACAATCTTGTGATGTGTAAATTAAAGTTATTGTTCGCAAATAGAAGTAAAGTGTATATGCCATATTTAAAGATATAATTACAACAGAATTCAATGTACCAACACGTTAAAAATGTCAAGAGCTTGCCTATCATTTTTAGGATTCATCAAGTGAAATACACTGTATATAAAGTTTCATTAACGATATAAAATGTACGACCACGTTTATTATACTTAGAGCTTGTATATTTTTTAAAGGATCCATCGATTGAAACACGATGTTTAGATATTCGAAATTGGGACAACACAAGGAAAGTGATTGAAGACGTAAGACAAGTAGATCTCTTAGTAAATAATGCTGCAATTTTGAGGTTCAAAACTGTTCTTGAAACAACAGAAGAGCTCATTGACGAGTAAGTTATAGACGTGTCATTATAGAGTCTTCCATAATAAATTGCTTAAAGTTTGTTTAATATTAGAAACTTTAAAAGGGGGAGGGGGTGTGTCAATCAAAAACCAAAAATCGAAAAAAGACTACACCATTGACAAAATAATTAAAGATCGATACATAGACAAGACACTATTCAAACAATCAAAGAATGGGCAAACTTATCAATGTATGTTTTTTTTAGCTCATTAAAAGATAAAAAGTATTAGCTTTTTCCATCACTTGGCGTCCGTCGTCCTACGCAGTCATTAATTAAAACATCTCGTCCATTGAAAATGTATGGCCAAGTGTATATACAAATTTTACTTCGATGTTTCATAGCGCATCTTGTTTGTATTTGATCCATATGGACATCTTTGGCTTTACTTGTTAAACATATAACAAAAAGGACAACATTTAAGGGAGGTTATATACGACACGTATAAGAGACGGAGACAAACTCTCATTTAAAACGTTTCTTTTTGCTCGGAATTGTCAATTGCTCTCATTGTGAGTTATTGCTCCTCTTTTTTTCAATAATCTTGAAAAGGATCATATATGTAGAAAGAACTGTACAGCAAAAAAAATTACAGATATAGAGGGACATGTAGAGCAAAAATGATCATAGATATAGAAAGACGTGTACAGCAAAAACAATCAAAAATATAGAGAGGCATGTACAGCAAAAATAATCATTGATATAAAAAGACTTGTACAGCAAAAATAATTAAAAAATATAGAGAGGCATTTACAGCAAAAAATATCAATATGACAGACCTACAAATGACCGAAATGTACGAAATTGTCGATGAACTACATGTATAAGTTTCTGTCCTTTAGTGACGATTTCTTTCAACTTTTGTGAAACTATTTTTTGAAGTGATAAAAAAACCATTAATGATTAGGAAAATGAGATATCTCAGTATGTTAACATAACAGAAACAGCAATCGATTTTATATAGAAGTAATTGGCTTTAAATGATGGTTAACCCGTTTACGTTTTTGGCTCTATCTTGAAAGTATAATAGATGAAGAGAAACAAGATTATCAACATGACAAGATCTGCAAGACAATCAAAGGATGAAACTCGTTAATTGATTTCCTAGAGGTGCTTTTGTCCTTAAATTACTTTACCATGTATTAAAAAATAGCATTTTTGCGGGGCTGACTAAAATCTTGTCAAAAGTCATAATCAGTATAAAAAAATGATGGCTGCCGCTGCTGATTATGCATTGATTGTTCGATATATACTTGCCAGGTGTGCGATTCTGACCTCGACTAGCATTTAGTCTTTTGCATTTGCTTTACTCAAAAGGGGAGATGGGTATACAAGTATCAAAACCTTGACCATTCGATCTGAATCAGCACTTTTCTGTTATGTTGTTGAATGATTTGCATTATTGATAACTTTTATTCCAAATTAGCTCTAAAAGAGGGTGACTTGAGAAAATAAACATGGTCACTTTGGTCTTCTTTCGACCGGTATTAAAACCGTTGCCAACGTGTGGCGTCCGTTTGGCTGTGCGGGATGTATAAGTACGCAACCACTTCCGATAAGAATAAGGTAGATAAATCCGATGCCACGTGTTGAGAGAGTGCCACGCTCTTGCAACAATTGTATAAGGGGTCCATCGGTGGCATATTGCAAGGCAAACTTCCTGTCCCTATTCAATGTACTCTAATTTTTCAGTGGCAGTTAAACATTGTGTAAATTTCCATGACCATCATCCCGAACGAACTCTATTAAGACCTACCTAGTGTATTTATCATTAACTTGTCTTCGTCCTCAACATGAGTAAAATATATGCCACTGAATGTTAAGCAAACATCATTCATTCAAATTTGAAAATGGAATGTTTTGCAAACAACTAACTAGTAACCATTTCTGTGTAGCAACATTCCAGCAGCGCCTTCATACGGAGTATTTATCTCCTAATTGATACAATATTCACGGGCTTGTAGTTCCTATCATGATTTCCTTGAGGGTTGCTGCTCACAAGAAAGCTATTGAACCAAGAGTTCCAAGTGATGAAATTGAAATCATCCTTTTGTAAATTTTACGGACGTCATCACGAGTTGGTTTTCCGTTGTGGAATATCCGTTTCACAGATGATAGCGAATATGTTCCAAATGTCGTAACTAAAATCCTGTCCCATTTTTCCCGGAATGTGACCTACCGAATTAGACTTTTTATCAGGTTTGTACTAGCATGAGCAACACGACGGGTGCAACATGTGGAGAAGGATCTACTTACCCTTCCATAGCAATTGAGATCATCCCCAATTTTTGGCGGTGTTCGTGTGCTCAGTCTTTGGTTTTATATGTTGTGATTTATGTACTATTGTTTGACTGTTGTTTTTTTTTCTTTTTTAGCCATGGCGTTGTCAGTTTATTTTCGACTTATGAGTTTGAATGTCTCTTTGGTACTTTCGCCTCTCTTTTTTGGTAACCAAATATTTTGCGGCCGGGGATGAGGTAAGAGTAGAGGACAAAACTACATCTACTCATTAACAAGTCTTTTCCCTTTCATATTTACAGTTGAAATTATCTAAAAGAGTTGCAGCCTAAAAAGTTGATCAATAATAAAGGGGATGTAACGTTTTAAAATTACATGAACTTCAGCTAAAATGTGACATATTGTAAAGTGTAGTCATATATGTTAAAATCATTGCCTTATAAACTTTTATAAAATAGCACATTGTACACATAAGGTGTAATCTTTAAACATGCTTTATTTTTATTGTAGACATTTTGACATAAATTTTAAGGCAGCTTTGAACATATCTCAGGTATTAGATTAATAAAGTTAACTAGCTTAAACACTATTTACTTGGAAATTTGCTCTTTTTTCTGATGTTGTACTATAAGACCACTGTCCCATGTTATGGGAAGGACTCGGCGCCCGCTAACATGTTTAACCCCGCCATATTCTGTACGTACACGTCTGAAGTCAAGAGACTATCGGTGAGTGGTTGTCGATTGTTGCTGTATATCATATCTATTTTTTGTTTATTGTTGTGTACATACCGTTAGTTTTCTCGTTCGAATTAATTTCCATTTGTTTTGTCGGGGACTTTTACAACCTGCTATGTGTTTTTTTTCATTGTTGAAGGCCGTACGGTGACCTATATTTGCCGACGTTTTCGTCATTTGGTCTATGGTAAATTTTTATCTTATTGGCAATCATACCACATCTTCTTATCTTTATATAATTTGCAATTTATTACTTTCATATCTTGAACGCCCTAAACTTAACTATAAAAGTGAATCCTATATTATAAAAAATCTAATTCATTTTAAACATTTTCCAGTTAGGTACAGTGATTGCATTCAGCCTTATTCTGTAAAAAAGTGTAATGTTATTGTTCAATATTTTCAAAACGGTACACTTTTTTTCATTAATCATTCATGTTTTTAAACAATTTGTTCAAGAATGCACCATGCAGATTGAAATGTCTTGGTCATTACAGATCGTCGCCAAAGGAATTATTTCACGGAAAGGAAGTGGGGCAATTGTGAATATTTCAAGTATCGGCGGTATTCTAACTTATCCTGGTGATCCTGTTTATTGCACCACGAAGGCAGCTTTGGATATGCTTACAAAGTCTATGGCATTAGAGTTTGGACCTTTAAAGGTAAATTTTGGTTAATTTGGTAAATTTCTTAACAACTTGCCTTTGTACGTTATAAATATGTTGACTATATTATTTTTAGAAATAGCAATTAAAGTACAAATTCTAAAGGTTATTATTATATATAACCTCTGTGAAGATAAATTATTGCACTGATTATTATTTGTACGTTGCATTTAGTGTTGAATGTCAGTGAAGGGTCCAACATATTTATCAATTGCTACACTTGGTTGCTTTTTAAGTTTCAAGCTAGTTTTAAAACAAAAATAAATGTCTATCTCATGCCTAGTTTTCATTTGCAGCTTTGTATGAATTAAACTCTTTAAAGATACCAGACAGTTAATTCAGAACGCGCCTTTATTATCAAAACTCGCTAGGTGCGCTGGAATCAAAACAGCTGTGAGGCCAAAGATCTTAATTAGTGACATAAGTGTTCATGAAGCTCTAAATAAATATCGGTTAATGTTGGTAAATAGCTTTCTTTTTTTAAAAGATTTTACTTCTGGACATAGCTTTAATGATAATGAATTAACTTTTTTTTCTGTCAAAGCTTTGATTTTCCACGGAATTCTTATATTACCAGATTCGAGTAAACAGCTGTAATCCAGGTGTAGTATCAACACCCATGAGTGAGATGCTTTTGGTCTCTCGGGAACAAAGAGATGCTTTTACAGGAAGAATACCGATGGGAAGAATCATAGGTAGTTTACTGAATGCCCAAAATATGTTCTATAACTCTATATGTTCTGTAAAAATTTTCAATGATAATGCTCTTCATAGATACTAGGATTAAAATTTTATATGCCAGACGCATGTTTTGTCAACTCAGATGTGACGCTCGAATAAAAAACGTTTAAAAGGTCTAATAAAGTACGAAACTGAAGAGATTTGAGGACTCAAAATTCAAAAAGGTGTTGCCATATATGGTCAAAAAAAATTTTCTCTATGAATATCTGACAATATTTAGATTTCAAATGCAAGATAGCACAACAAAAGATAGCACAACAAAAAAGAGATTTGGTCAATGTACCATTTATTAATTTTAATGAAGTACGCCACTTTGGGTACTTGATGTCATCTAATTAGATTATTATCATTTTGCGCGAAGGAGAGATGTGGAATACTTGCATCTTTCGTGTACATATTAACTTTCTCCTCTGGAAATATAAAGATATAATATAGATTAGTATCATACATCTTGTTCTGGATATGTTACAAAGGCTTAACACTAGATGTAAAGCAAACAATGAGCTCAATATGTTTTTGCAAAATTGAAATATGTATCAGTAACAATTACATGTTCAAAACACATCTAGTCTTCTCTATACCTTCGTACCTTAACACCTAAGACTATTCACTAGATTATTATATAAAAAAATAACTTAAGTTTGTTGACTAGCTCGCTGCTAATATCTTTTCTGAGCTGCCACTTTTATTTCAATATACAGCAATAACAACATTACACTTATACAAAGTACTATTTGCAATCATCCTTCAAAATATCATTATTCAAAACACACAAAATATTGTTTCGTAGCCGATCAGGAAAAACAAAATTTGGAAACCTGCGTCCTTGGGTCAATGCCACGCGAAACTTACGTGTAGGACCTTACTTAAAAAAAATGCAGGTAAAAGAAATGCGAAATCTTATTAATTTGAACACAAGGAGTTATAGTCCTAGGAATACAGCTATAAAACAAAATTTTGCAATAAGTTATATAATCCAAGTCCGATTACGGTTATATAGCCATACCATTTATCTAAAATATATATTCAAAAAAAGACCATGAAAAATAGTCAAATTGAACATTTTTATTCTGATGAAAAATTTGATGTACACAGTACAAAAGAAAGACTTAAAGAAGTACTCATATAGCTACCTATTTAAGACTACAATTTTTGGCGCCAAAAATTCATACGCCTCGGAAATACCTTACCGAGAAGCCAATGAATTCCCGTCTTACTGCGTACCACGGGAATTATCTATACTTCATTTTACTCTAAATCATAATAGAATCTGGAGCGTAAATATTGACCGAAAAGGTTAACTTGTAATTCAAGAAAAAAAGTATGGCAAGGCCACTATAATGCTTTTTGCATTCGAAAATCATTAAGTTGACATATCTATCAAATGACGAAAGAAGTTCGCTTATTGAAAACATGAACAAGTGCAACGTATACATTGACGTATCTATAACGGCATAGACTTACGCAGAGTATGCTAAGAAATGGGACCTTGACAATGGGAAAGTTGAAATCATCACTTTTATCATATATTTTTGTTCGAAGTCGTCCATCTATATCAGTATCGAAGTGAACGTCAAAATATCAAGCAGACTTTCGTCTGTTGGTAGAAGCCTTTATCCCTTGTTCCATGGATTGATTGATTGTTGGTTGCTTAGTAAAGTGGCAGATATGTTATGCATGTTCAGGACGAGAACAAATTAACAATATATACAATAGGTAGGTCTTGTACTATAGGCCGTCCGGGATAAAGTTGGGGAAATTTCGACTGCCACTGGAAAAAAGGGTATATTGGATAGGGACAGAAATTTGGCCTTGCAACAGGCTACCTAAGGAACCGTAAAAGAGTTGTTGCAAGGGTTCGTAACGTGCAGAAAACGTGACACTCTCTCTACACGAGGCATCGGATTTAAACGTCCCCATTCTGACCGGATGTGACTATGTACTTGATACAGCCAAACGGACACCCCACTTTGGCGAGGTTTTTACTGCCGGTCGGAAGAAGACCAAAGTGACCATATTTCTATTCCCCAGTTACCCTTTGGGGGCAAGTTCCAGGGATATATGACATGTAAACAATCATTGAAATTTAGGTGATTCAGTGACAGAACTTCATCAATTTATCTAAGTTAAACAAAAGAAATTTGGATAATGCTTTTTGTTAAAAAAATAAGAGAGGCGAAAGATACCAAAGGGACATTCAAATTCATAAAATGAAAATAAACTAACAACGCCATGGCTAAATGAGAAAAAGACAAACAGACAAACAAAAGTACACAAAACACAACATAGAAAACTGTAGACTGTGCAACACAAACCCCACTAAAACTAGGGATGATCTTAGTAGCTCCGGAAGAGTAAGTAGATTCTGCGCCACATGTGGCACCCGTCGTGTTGCTCATTTAAGTACAAACCCGGAGATAAATCTAATTCAGTAGGTCACATTGGGGATGGAATTGTAGTTACGACGATTGGAACATATCCGTTGTCATCTGTGAAACAGATATTCCATAACGGTCAATCAACTCGTGATGGCGTCCGTAAAATTTACGAAGGGATGATTGCAACTTCACCACTGGGAATACTTGGTTTCGTAGCTTCCTTGTGAGCAGCAACCCTCTATCAAGGAAATACAAGCCCTGGAATATCGTATCAGCTTGGAGATATATACTCCGTATGCAGGCACTGCTGAAATGTTGCTTCATAGAAATTGAAAGTTCACAATTAAGAAGCTGAAATCATCTCTTTTGTCGTAAAGTGTTGTTTTCAACCAACCCACATTGTCAATGTCTAGATGTAACATGTGTAAGTCAAGATGTAAGGCAGACTTAACTGTATCTGTTGTATCTCAAGTTCGATGGGATAGATGAGTTCAACATAGTCACCAAATTTTGAATTATTTAGTGAGAGAACATCATCTATATAGCGAAAAGTGAAGTTAAAGGATAACAATATACTTTGTTTGGATGGTACCAAATGGTACATACAAGAAGCCCATATGGTACAAAATGGCACATATCTTATACATGGATGTAAATGCGATTTAAATGTCTTTTTTCCGGTATGTCCTTGGCTGATACTTACTTTGACAAAAACTCTAATGAAAAATCGCCATATGTGGTGAATTATGGCAATTTTGTCGTATGTTTATGGATCAAAATAGCATAAATTTGAATGAACTGAAGACTTCTACTATCTATGCAATTTTCAGGAAAAAAATCAATGGCTTTTATACCTCCGCTATAACTTTGAACATCTTTTTTCCAGAACAAGATGAAGTTGCCAATACAGTTGCATTCCTTCTCAGTGACTATGCATCTATGATAAATGGTGCCTTGGTGCCCGTAGACGGTGGACACATTATACATATGTCACCTAACCCTGTGCAGTAGTTAACATTGATATTTTTTGTGTTAATACACATAGCTTTACCGGATGTATCTTACACCATTATGCAATTAAGGCAACCATAAAATAAACAAGTCATTACTTGAAGTTGTTAAGGACTTTTTAGTTATTCCGTGATATGAACACTGCATTTACATGTATACTACCTTTTCTTATTTGACGTACCTGTTCAACCATTGGCACACAATGGTACACTATTCATTACAATCCCTTAACACGATTGAGACGAGAAGAGTAGCAATATATTAGGAAAGTGGATTCATTTATTTCCGTAGATACACATTTAAGGGGTGGAGGACAAATTGTATTTCGTGGATATATCTTATGATTTCTTGGTTTAGCCAAAGTCGTCATACATACTTCATTGAGCATTCAAATTTGATTAACCTTCACCAACAAAATTCCACGAAAATTGGTATCCCACGAATAATTATTATGAATCCATAGTATATAATAATATTTCTATTTTCAAAAGTTTCAGCTATGTTTAATCATCTTATGATCAATTTGTCAGCTCGAACATGTTTTTTTCTGTAGTTATTTTCCTGAGATCCATGTTAATATCATAGTCACATTAAATGGAGTTTTGAATATATTGAATCAAGAAAGACTGTTTCACCCCTTTAACTTTTGTTTTAGCTTTCCGGCTTGACAAAACAAGAGACTCAAAACTATATGTTATTTAGCATACAAACAATAACATTAATTAAGCACATATTTTGCTCGAGTTTCCCTCATAATCATTGTACACACTTTTTTCTGTGTACTAAGTTAGTACGCATGGATGACCACAATGATAAAATTTCATGTTATTGTAATCAAGATATTAAGAACAATAATTAAGTGCCTCCGGCCCTTTTGTAATAACATTTGAGTCGCAACGCAGTGATGTTAAGGTTGTTCGCCACATCAAAATGAACGAAAATGCAGTGTTTTCACATTTAGTGTCCAGTAAATGTGTAGTTGTGTTCAATCATAGTAGTCCAGATGATTCGTGCTTATTTTAAGAAGAATTGTGGGTTTGATTATAAAAGCATGAAACTTTGCACATTAATAGATATATATTTGATTGTCAATCTAAGCTATGGACCCACTCTGAAAATCCAACATAGCGGCCATTTTTAAAATGTCTCCCAATCAGTCTATATTTCACAACCTTGTCTAATTAAAAGTAAATAATATGCAAACCAAATATTTTAAAAACATATAAAATATAATCCAACGTTTCTAGTAAGTCATGATGTTATATAAGATTTTGTTGTTTTTTTTCAAAATGGCGGAAAATTTCAAAATGGCCGCCAAAAATTAAAAATGAACAAAACTAATACAAGGCTTTGCTTGTATTTTATCGAATTGCATTTTGCAAGAAGATCAATAAAAACGATTTATGACCAAATTTCTACTTGAAAACGGTTATCATGGTAGCATCACGGGTGCTCCTGGCTGGCCAGAAACTACACACCCGTCAAGAACACATACGAATACCCTTAGTTGTAGTGAAAAGGGACTTGTGTTGTTTATGCTTTCAATGTTGTGTTACTTGCTCTTT